AATATTTATAACTGTAATAATTCAACAGTAAACCTAAAAATGTATAATCAATTTTGTAAGAGATGCATCCTAGCTCAGAAAATTGTTATTGAATATGTCAATGCTGATGTAATGAAATGCTTCTTCTAAGTATGTGGTTATTAAATAAATAATTTTTAAAAATGTAAATGATAGTGCTTGCTGTGCAAGCCTGGTGATCCGAGTTCAGTTCCTAGAACCCGTATGAAAAGACCAGATATGGTGATGCACATCTGTAATCGCCACACTCTTATATATGGGAGGTGGAGACAGGAGACTTTCCGGAAGTTTGTTGGCCAGCTAGCCTGGAGTACACAACATGGCAGAAACAAGGGGGCCCCTGCCTCAATGTGGTGGAAAGTAGAGAACTGAAGTTGGCCTTTGACCTCCACATGGATGCTATGGCATATGTGTGTATGGAAACACGTGTACACACAGACACACATATACATACACTAATAATAAAGTTTAAAAGTATATGATAAGGTAACAATTTAAGTAGTTACTTAAAAGTGATATAGTAATGTTTTCTTTTTTATTTATTAGCTTTACAATTTTTTAGTTTTAGGTACAGATATGAGTGTGTGTCTGTATGTGTACATATATGCATGTGAGTGTAGATGCCTTGGAGGAAAGAGACATTGGGTCTCTCTGGAGTCAGAGTTATAGGTGATAATGAGCCACCCACTGTGGGTGCTGAGAATCCAGCTCTGATCCTTTGGAAGAGCAGTACGCAATCTTCACTGCTGAACCCTCTCTCCGGCCCTTATTTATTGGCTTTTAAACCCTAAAATAAATTCTATGGTTGTTTGTTTTTGGTTTGGTTTGGTGGGAGAGAATATTTATTCAGGAAGTCTATGTTATGTTATAGCTCATGCACATTTGCAGTTGTGTAAATATTTATTGTCTTTCTGTGTCCTGTAGACTTCATCCGAAATCTCAAAGAGAAAATTGCCTGTGTGGTTTGTCAAAGGAGAGGAGACCTTAGCTGATATCAGCGAGAAATCAATGACCAGAACAAAAAAGAAAGGTCTTTTCGGTTAAGATGACGATTACCTAAACAATTTTTGTATCTTACTGTATTTTAAGAGGAGAGTCATATTTTATTCCTGTAAAGAATGAAAAGTAATATTTTGGCTTAAAATTTACTCAAAGTCCAAATAAAACTCATCAATCTATTGAACAACTGCCATCTTTACTCAACCTTCCACAGTTGAGATGAAGTCTTTGAATCATCTAAGACCCTGAGTACAACATAGAAGAGAGCATTTAATTCGATCTCCTTTATGGTGCTTCCGAAATGCCGTTACTGCCTTGTGCTCCAGTCTCATCACCTATTGCAGCAATACATTTGGAAAAATGTAATGTGTGGTTCTTGGACACAGATAATAGATAATGTGTGCTGATAGCTGTAAACTAGTTTTAAATTACCAAATTGTATCTTGTAAATTTAAGACTGCATACTATTTTACAAATGGTCATCATGTTGTGAAGAAACTCTTAACTCTTATCTGCATTGTTTGATGATATTAGTTGACCAGACCAATAAAATGAAGCGACATTTTGGGTTTCATTTAAGTGAGGAGAAAACAATGTTAAAGTTTCCATTTACAGAGACGGCATATTCTATACCATTTCTATAATTTTTCAAATAAAACATTGTCCTTCATACTGAATATTATAACTGTATATTTAATTTTCATTTACTTAAATACCATGAGTACCTTTACTCATTTGAAGAACCCAAGATTTGATTTGAGCATGCATTATGTTTCACAGATAACTTAAAAATCTAAAACCCGACTCTATTTTGGGTTAACTTTTGTCATATAACTTTTTAAGTAGTTCAATGTACAGTTTAGAAATACATTCCAAGCCTTTAATTTTTTTGTAAATAGAAATAACTGTGGTTAATAAAGAAGAAATATATGCTTTTTTGTAAATAGAACTAGAATGCAGAGACGTTAGAAAAAAAAAAGACTGAGAAAGCACCCATGGCTCCATTAGTAGATCATCAAAAAAAGCCTTGTTTTGTATCTGGCCAGACCTTCTCATGTTTGTCTTTTCTTCATTTGTTACAGCAATAATATCCATGAATTTTCACTGTAAAACATTCAAATTATATTTAAAACATAAAAGTCCCTATACGCTCACTTTTCTACTTCCTGTCATTGAACCTCCTCCCAGTAAATGCGTCACATGTGGTTCTTAGTCACTTTGCTGTTTCTGTGCCTTAGCATGTGTTTCTATGACATGTAAGTTAGTGTTCTCCATGACAAAGCGTCAGGTGCTTAAAGAATGTGTGCTTCATGCTGGACCCGATGGTCATCTATAGGAAAAGCACTCTTTTAATTGTTTGAGTTATGAACTGAATTGGCTGAGCTTTTTCATGGAATTGGCAAAAAATTATGGTTGGTTATTAGACTTGGTTATTTGGCAGGTATCTTCTCAAGATTGAATGAGGTTAGCCTATTGTTTCAAGGAAAATGAGAAAGTGACTTAACAGTATTTATTGGTAGTCATAAAAACTGAAATTTCTAGTAAAACTTAGAATTTGGTAAACTGGGAACCTGGTCAGCTTTCTTTAATCTAAAGACGTCTAATGAGATGGATAATAATAAATAAGTTCGACCTTTTTTTTTTTTTTGTTTTTTTGGTGGGGGTCCCCCTTATGCCACAT